TTGTTCACTTTATGTGGAGGAAAATTAACGGCAGGTGGGCGGAGCAGAGGCGGGTCACATGCTAGAGGCTGCGTTGCTATGAGACTCCGGGGCACCGGTGTGGCGGGTCGGTGTGGTTGCTGCCTTACTTCCTCTTGTGTCATTACTTGAGTGGACACGGCTGCGTTTTACTAGAGCCCGTTGGAGTACTGGTGGAGAGGATTGACGTGCTGGGACCTGTAGTTCCTCAAACCTTGTTAAAGTAATGGAATGGTGACAGGACTGGCACTGTGTGTTCAAAAATACTATATTTGTTTAGTGAACAATTGGCTTAATGTTACCGGGTAGCCTAAAGAGAACCAGTCACGACTGGGCTTGTGAGAGTGGATATTCAAATTATTATACTTGTGCAGGCCTAAAGGACAACTCCACCTTTAGTGAAGCTGTCCTTTTCTAAATGGCCCTGCTCCCTCCCCCACCTGTCCCTCCAATGAGAGGGGAGGGAGGAATCCCTGCAGGGGTGGGGATTAAATCTCATGGACTAACGCTGCTTCCATCGTACCTGTGACTTTATCGGACTTCGAAAGGTGTGTGTGGGGGTGTGGCAAGGGTTCTGTCATAAGCGCACTGCGGCACCAGAAATCTCACGGACCACTGCAGCTTATGAGCGTCTCCAAATCCACAACTACCACGCATGCGCCAGTCCAGAAATTTGGAGACGCTCATAAGCTGCAGTGGTCCGTGAGATTTCTGGACCTGGTGCCACAGTGTGCTTGCAGGCACGACAGAGCCCTTGCCACACCCTTGCACACACTTTTCGAAGTCCGATAAAGTCATGGGTCTGATGGAAGCTGCGCTTGGTCCGTGAGATTTATGGACTTGGTGCCGCAGTGCGCTTGCGTGCACGGCCGAGCCCTTCACACACCCCCGGAAGTCGGATAAAGTCACGGGTCCGATGGAATGATAGAAGACCAGTGCAGGATGGCTGCAGTGTACCACACCGGCTCTAAGTATTGGGAAGCAGGGGCGTAACTAGAAATTACAGGGGCCCATAGCAAAAGTTTGTATGTGGCCCTGTAATTTCTAGTTATGCCCTTGCAGAGCCCACCTGATGTCGCAAACAGCCCACCTGAGCGTGACCCTGCAGAGCAAGCCATAGCCTCTATGGTGGACTCTGCAGGGTCTCAGGTGGGCTGCACACCTCTTTCCTGTCAGCCCCGATCCACTGTCCGCCTTCATGGTCACTGGCAGGCCCGCCTCTTCCTTCGTCGGCCCTCCTCCGCTTCTGACCCTTGGCCCAGCCTTCCTCCTCCACAGGTGCTGGCTGTCACTGACTTAACAGCGGCTGTGAGGAGAGCACAGATCACTGACAGGTTGTCGGTGATCTAAAAGTGACACGTTCCGCCTCACACCCGCCAGTGACAGCCAGCAGCCTGAGATGCCATAGCGGCCCGCACGGCATCAGGGGGATGTCCTGACCGGGCCCCATGGTGATTGTTACGCCACTGTTGGGAAGAGTATATCTTACTTTCCTAGTACTTCTCCTTTAAAATGCTTGCTGGATAGAATTTATATAATATTTATGATCAACATTTCCTGTTTACCTGAGTAAAAGAAAAATATATTTGTTTTAAATCTGTCCTGACGATAATAAATACCAAACATGCACAAAATCACTCCATGTTTCCTTTATTTGTACAAAACAAATGACAGATTGACATTCAGATAGTTGGTGCTGCGGTTAGGCCGTGTCCATGTACAGTCTGCTGTCATTCTGTGTACATTTAAAGTAGTTGTAAAGTCACAGCATATACTACCGGTATGTCAGGGGTAGGCAACCTTGGCACTCCAGCTCCCATCATGCCTCGGCCTCAGGGGGCTGTGTCCTTGGCTGTCAGAGTCTTGCAGTGATGATGTCACATGGCTTGCCTGATGAAGGGACTCCTTGTGACCCTGAAATGCTGTTTGCTTTGTAATATGAATTTGCGTCAACAAAAGATGTGCTTGCATCACAGCTGGGGTGCCGGTGACCCCCCTTTATATAAACGTCCATGTTCTTCTCCAATGATGTCCACATCATGTGATCCCTTACACTTTCTGTGGACTCCAAGCTTCTGGCCCACTTTGCCTCCTCCTATCAGCTTGGTGTCTACAGAAAGGATGACAACACTGCTCCAGAGCGCTGTCACCCTAGGACCGGAAGTCTAATCTGGAGGATAACCAGGTAAAGAAACCCCACTGGAAAGAGTGGAGGGTAAGTTACTGCTTTATTCACTTTTATTTTTAGGTTTCTTTACACCACATCAAGGGTTCTTACTGTCTTTTGTGTAAATGTTTTATTCACAGGTGAAATTTAAGGATCTGCACATAGTAAAGGAGGGATATCGATACTGTGAAGTTGTAGCACTGGGAACAGTCAAATATCAATTTCTCCTGTAGAATCATAAGGAGCCTTGGGATGGTATAAGAGTGATGGTGAAAAGCTGTTTCAGGTAAGTAGTGCAACAACGTGGGATTATATTGGCTCATAGAATAGAAAAGAGCAGTCATTGTGCTGCCTTACTAAAGTGGTTAGCACTTCTGCCTTACAGCGCTGGGGGTCCCCGGTTCAAATCCCAGCTCCTCTTTAAATCTGCCCTGTGTGCATGTGAGGTAGGGACCTCAGATTGTAAGCTCCTCGAGGGCAGGGACTGATGTGAATAAGCGCTGTGGAAATTGTTGGCGCTATATAAATATATAATAAATAAATAAGATAAAACAAACTTGTCAGCTGTCCCATCCAGGGACAATTATCTCATCTACTGTGTATGATTACATGCAGACTGCTGCTGACAGATGCGGTGGTGTTCTGTCGAAAACTTTGATTTCTCGAGATCTCCAATGACGTTACGTCCAGTTGACTTGCCAGTAAGAGGTTTGGATGAGTAGGCTCTGGTGCGCATGTGCCACCCTATATATTCCTATATACATATCAGACAGCAATAAAGTATTATAATCAACTAGGGTGAGACTAATCTAGCATGTATTTAATCTGAGTTGCCCCACTCCATATGGCCGCCAGAGTCAGGCAAGTATCCTCCCGCGCAGTAAAGGGAATTGGAGACCTCGATAAGGCTTCTGAAGGTGGGTAGGCGCAGTGCAGAGCATTGTCGAACTCAATGAGGATTAGGAAAATGCCGTGGGTGGCGCATCTGCACTAGAGCCTACTCATCCAAACCTCTTACTGGCAAGTCAACCGGACGTGAAGTCATTGGAGATCTCAAGTAACTGGCGTTTTCAACAGAACTGAGGCTGTCACCTGAACTGGGATGTGAATGGGACACCTGGGATTCCTGCTACAAGAATGTCTAGGTTCCGGCCAGGAATCCCAGAACACACCCATGTGAATGCAGCCTAAAAGTCGCGCTTTTGCTAGCCAAACACACACACCATTTAAACAGCTTTACACCACAAAACTGACTGAACATCCAAAGCTTCATACCATCAGTAGTGGAGGAAATGGAGAGGAACGGTTAGTGGCAGGTTGTGTCTATCCATTTGGTCAGTTTTGCAATGGTAAGGTGGCTTAAAGAGGTAGAATATTGCCCAAGATCCTAATTGCCAGAAAAACCCTCCTCTGTGCGCCTCTCTGATTTAGGGCTAGTTCACACCAAGTGCAGAGCAGTTTAAGAATGCATCAAAAACATATCTCATGTAATGTATTCCAATGGTATTTTGGGCTCTAGTTCACACCATAGCATTCAGGTCCAGTGCATGCGGAAAAACTGCTGCATGCCCTATTTGTTCTGCTCTGGAACGCACCAAAACACATGTAAATGCATAAAAAATGAATGCAAACGCTCCAGACTACACCTGAAAGCCCATTTAAAAAACACAAAAAAACACTGCACCGGAACACATAAAAAAACACATGCAGAAACACATTCACTACAGGTCCGGATCTGGTGTGCACAACCCTAAGCCTGTGAACAAGCCTAACTTCTGAACTAAGCTCCACCTACTCATCCATCCATTGTCCTATGAGAGCACTTCAGAGGCCATTAAAAAGAATGCATGCGGGTAAGTTGGGCTTAGCATAGACACCAGGATAGTCAGGGCCCTAGCAACAAAATGAAACAAAATTTCAGATTGCACTAAATGTGTTTCTTTCTTTGTCAATTTCCTTCATTCTTATTTTTCACTGCTCCGGTTTATTTTTTTATAACTTTAGTTGTGACTCTCCGTTTTCTTTTCTATGTCCATTAATATGGCGCAATGACATTAAAAATTCATATGAAGTGTTATCGCCATAGAAACCTGTACCAGAGAGCTGCTGGTAATTACAAGGCCTGTACCCCGGAGTGGCACAATTGCAGCGGTAATTGCAGCCATAGCTATAGGGACTGGTACTCACGGGTAGTTCTAGATCCGTTGATTTGACATCGCAATCAGCAGATCCGTACAAGGATCACACACTGGTTCCTTTTTACAGAACTGCCTGCTGCTGCAGGTTTCTTCTTACACTAGGGCATGTTGTTTGAATAACCCAGGGTCTATATATAGAAAACTCATGATAATAGTAAAAGTGCACCTGTAATTCAGTACTAAAAATAAACAGCGAGGGACATAGATGCTGTATTTGGTCTTCCTGTGATGGAGGTTTATGGAGGGAGTTTATGAAAACTGGAGCAGACAGAATCTGAACAAGTTGCCCATAGTAACCAATCAGCTTCCCTCTTCAATTTTAAGCTTTGAAAATAAAAGAGAGAAGCTGATTGGTTCCCTGGGCAACTTGTCCTGTCTGCTCCAGTTTTGATAAATTCCAGTCTATGTGTATTTTAGAAGTGTCATGTTTAGACGGAACCTTTAGTCATTTTCTTTTTAAATACATTTGTGAATGTGATCAGCTTAGTGTGTCAATAACTTGTTGTTTAGTGGTTTTGTATATATTTCTTTCATTCTTATAGTTAGAATTGAAAAGATATCCTTTTCTATTGTGAAATATGGCATGTTACTATTGTGTTTTCTCATTTTAGCCTGAAGGTGGATCTTTAGTCTTCTTTACACAAGTTGGCCAGCTTCTGGTTACCTATTGCTGAAGAGGCTGTTGACGTAGCCCAATAGCTCAATCTGAAATTTACAGACACAAGTGATTGAGATAATAGTAAGTTATCCCCCGTTATGTTCCCTTTTTTGAACGTAAAAAGCCATCATACCTAAAAGGGATCTAGGATTCCATTGTCATACATTAAATGTTTAATATTATATGTTGGAAAAGGATAGAAACATCACTTTAAGAATGTATAAGCCTAAAGAGGACTTGAATTGTGAGAGCTGTGCCCAGAAAGGCATAGGGCAAAAGTCTAGACACCATTATCGCATGTGATCTCCCTACAGCTGATGTTTTCCCTTTACTGACTTACCAATGCCTTGTTCTGCACTGTGCCTCTGTGTGGAGGTGGCCATCTTAGTAGTGGCAGGGATTGGAGCTGCCCTCCTAATGACTGGTGAGGGAATGATGAAGAAGAAGCAGGGTGGGTGCAGAAAACACAGAGCCACAGAATAAATGAAGTAGAAGCAGGGAGATCCTTACACTGCGGGTCCTCGGGTACAGCTTCCTATTCAGCAAGAAGAACAGCGAGCAGCACAGTATGTGCCTTAGATAACCTCACTCTGCGGTGAGGTGACGAGGGAGCATGAAGCCGGCTTCCCGGCCAATCAGAAAGTCGGGCGCCGCGTCATTACACGGCGCCCTGTTTCCTAATTGGCCTGTTTCCCGACCAAACAGGAAGCCGGGTAACGAGTCATTGCACACTAGTGATGAGGGAGCATGGATGTGGCTTCCCGACCAATCAGGAAGCTGGGAAGCATGTAATGACGCGCTGCCCGGCTTCCTGATACAGGAAGTATCGGGCTAGGCAACAGAGCATTTAGGCGAGTATGGGTACTCGCCCAAATACTCGGCATCGGCGCATCCCTAATTATTATAATTATATATATATATATATACTGTATCATTACATACGGTATGTGGTTCTTGCTGAGTAGTGCTGCACAATGTTTGCGTGTTACTGCTCCTCTTATATACTATATGGCCAAACATTTGTGGACATATGACCATCTTACCTACTCTATGGCCACAAATATGTGGACACCTTGCCATCACACCTACCCAATATGGCCAAAAGTATGTGGACCCCCCTCCAACTGACCTTTACTTTACTGACCTCAGATGTTTCCAGTGAAGGGTGCTGTTAACGCTACACCATACAAAGACGTTTTAGGCAATTGTGAGCTTCCAACCTTATGGCAACAGTCAACCTCAAGGCCATTTTCGGTTCCAGCATGAGTGTGCCTTGTGCACAAAGCCAGCTCCACCTCCAGGTCCTCGATAGATCTGTGCCTTTATTCAACCTCAAATACTATGTAACGATAATAAAGACATGATTTGATGATTTTGTTGTGGAGGAACACGAGTGGCCTGTACATAACCCTGACCTCAATCATACCAGACGCATTTAAGATGAATCGGAATGCAGTCTGTGAGCCAGACCTTCTCGCCTAACATCAGTAGCTGATCTCACAAATGCTCTTTTGGCTGAATGAGCACAAATTCCCACAGACACTCCAAAATACTGTAGAAATCCTTCCCAGAATAGTGGAGGCTGTAATAACCTTAAACAGGGACCACCTCTTTATTAATGCCCATGGTTGCGCAATGGATATACAAGAAGCTTATGGCCAAGTGTCCAAAAGCAACTTTTGCCCATTGACTGCAAGTCTGTGTGTAAACTCAGACTGGAGCCATCCTTACTTCCCAGTAATCATCAGTATTGCATAGTGGAGCTTAGCCACTAGAGAAAAGCAGTGCACCCAACCTCAAAGTCACTTTGTGCCAATCAAAATTAGTTTTGAGTGGAAATATAGTTTAAAGTACAACTAAAGGCTGCTGTATGACTCCCAAATCCAGTTACTATGTGATGCACAAGTCTCATAACCTGCCTTTACCTTCCCTGACCGAGCCAATTTCTCTGGTGCCTTAAGAGTTCCTTCACTGGAACTAAGGGGCCGAGCCCAACCCCTGAAAAACAACCCCACACCATAATCCCCCCTCCACCAAACTTTACACTTGGCACAATGCAGTCAGGCAAGTACCGTTTTCCTGGCAACCGCCAAACCCAGACACGTCCATCGGATTGCCAGACAGAGAAGTGTGATTCATCACTCCAGAGAGCACCTCTCCACTTCTCTAGAGTCCAGTGGCAGCGCGCTTTACACCACTGCATCCGACGCTTTGCATTGCACTTGGTGATGTAAGGCTTGGATGCAGCTGCTCGGCCATGGAAATCCATTCCATGAAGCTCTCTACACACTGTTGTTGTGCCAATCTGAAGGCCACACGAAGTTTGGAGGTCTGTAGTTATTGACCCTGCAGACAGTTGGCGACTTCTGTGCACTGTTCACTTCAGCATGCGCAGATCCCGCTCTGTCATTTTACATGGCCTACCACTTCGTGACTGAGTTGCTTTTGCTATAACAAAGTCGTCACTTTGTTATAATACCAGTAACAGGTGACCGTGGAATATTTAGTAGCAAGGAAATTTCACGGAACACCTGAATCCAATGATTTGGAGGGGTGTCCCAATACATTTGGTAATATAGTGTACCTGCAAAATGTTTTCATCCCACTATAGAGCAAGCAGACACAACTTACATGAGAGTGGCAACTCTTCTCTGAAATCAGGAGCGGTGCAGCATTGTTGCCACACTACCACAGGAATCTGCATTAGGGGGACATACCTAACATGATCAAAAGGTATTTGCGGGCCTTTGCAGAAAACTGTACAGATGTACCTATAACTATATACTGTATGCATTTGTATGTGTGTGTATATGTATTTTCAGGGAAACACGGTATATATAGATCTATATATATATATATAAAGTATATACAGTATATCTGCTTTAAGACTTGAAACATCTCTGGCACTAAATACGGGAATACTGAATGCAGATTTCTAAACACACATTTCATTATGCTCTGTTCTCTTGTAGATGGATAATATACACACCACTGGTGTTGCGTTTGCTGGCTCCTTGCAGAAGGTCCTTCATGGTTCTGAAGGATTCTGGTTGTGGCTGACTTACCTGGGTGACCCCGGCACTGTATTTCTCCTGTACTTTCCTCTGGCATATGCCCTCCAGAAGAGACTGGCAGTGACTGTTCTGTGGTTAGGACTCATCTGTGAGTGGTTGAATCTGGTGTTGAAATGGTAAGAGACATGTGCCACGATCATATTTGTATCCATGAAAGGGCTAGACCCATTATGCCAAAGGCTTGATCTTTGTTACCTTTGTAACTCCACTTTCAAAGGTGAATCTGAAAACAATGGAATGACCTCCTCCAATCTGGCCCCCACCAGATTTAAATTGGCAGAACTATTAAGGATGTCAGTAAAAAAAATGAGAAAGAGAAGCTCACTCTGATTTTTTTATTGTCATCTGTAGCTCTGTCGAGGAGATTTCTCCTTACTTATTGTGTCCTTGACATTTATTACTTGGACAGAAAGTTAAAGGAAATCCAACCAATGCCAGTTGTCACCAGAGCGGGAAGGCCAGTGACAGTTGGCAAAGTTGGGGTTTCCCCTCACATTGGGGGAGATCAGCACAGGATATAAGGGGTAATATCCAGGGCCGGCCTTAGGCCTTTAGGCGCCCTGTGATGAAAGCTTTACAGCGCCCCTCAGTGGCCACACCCCTCAGTGGCCACACACCCCGTAACCACACCCATTTTCCCCAATATCCGCACCATTTAAAGCTCCTATTTTGTTAAGCCGCAAAGAAACATATTAAAAAGTATGATAAAAATAAAACTTTTATTCAAAGGGTTTTAAAGCAGATCTCTGCTTTATCAGCTTCTTTTGGGGTCCATAGGTGATATTAGGGGTCCTAGAGACCCCTAATATCTCCATAAAGAGGACCTGTCAGTGTGCCTTTGCTATTATATAGGGGGTTGTTATCCCCCTATATAATAGCAATAACAATAAGTGCAAAAAAAAATATATAAATAAAAAAAAAGAAAAGTAACACATAAAAAAAAAAAATAAAATAAAAGCCACATATAAAAAAAGGGGAAAAAACCCCCCCAAAATGTTTAACTCCCCCACCCCCACGTTTACGCGCCTATAAACGTAAATACGCGTCCGGTGCCCCAGCGCGCAAAAATTACAATTGCGCTACACATGTTACATATCGCCGCGAACGTCGCAGTGAGAGCAATCATTTTAGGGCCATCAATCACTGATAACACTAAACTGATGAGCGGTAACAGCTTTTAAAGCGTCGCCTAGGGCCAATTTTGGGTATTATCGTTTTTTGAGGTTTCGCGCGCGCACGCAATTTTAAGGCTTGACATGTTTAGTGTCTTTTTACCCGACGTGACCCCGTCTTTTATATTTTACCAAAAAATTGGGTAATAATAAATGTTTTATCATTTAATATAGGGGAAACTGTTTTTTTTTTTTAAATTTCGGTAATTTTTCCTTAATATAGTAAAAAAATAAAACCCCCAGTGGTGAATAAATACCACCAAAAGAAAGCTCTATCTGTCCCCAAAAAAGGGTATAAAATTCATTTCAGTACAGCGCTGCATGACGGAATAAATGTCAGTTAAAGTACCGCAGCGCTGAATACTGAAAAATGGCCTGGATGGGAAGGGGGTTTAACACCGCGGATGTCAACTGGTTAAAGCAATTATTTGCCCCAAAGGCAATACAAAACTTCCTTTGCAGGGTCATTGTAGTTTTAAAACACAGTGGCTTTCCTGAAGCGACTCTGTTGCTATGAAAAAAAAGGGCACTCATGCCTCTGCTACTGACACATCCCAGGTGGCCAGATAGCGCGTTCCCTGCTGAGCATTGTGGTTCCGCCTGCTGGACACTACATCACTACTGTGTGCTGCAGTGACATAGCAGGCAGTGGGACATGTCATGTACCTCGGTAGGAGACTGAGATGACGAGGTCGGCCTCTCTCACTGCCCTCGTCCAGACACCCCTGGTAGTGAGAGACAGAGGTTGTGAGGAAGGAAGAGGGGCACGAGTGTCTGGAGGAAGCTGATGACACCCAAGCAGAAGATGCAGACGACTGGAGAGTGATGGAGGAGTCATCTCTGAAGGATGATGCCAGCAGCGGATGGAATGGCACTGATGCAAAAGAAAGAATCAGCATTAATAAGCCAGGTCGTTAACAGGCGGTCAGGGAAGTGCAGAATCAGCAGGCAAAAGGGAGGTCAGGGACAGGTCAGGTCAGTTATGTGCAAGTAAAACAGTACCAAATCGGCAGGCAGAAGGGAGGTCAGGGACAGGTCAGTTAGACCCCATTCACACTGAGCGACATGCAAATCGCGCGACTTTGAGCGACGAGCGACATTGAGCGACGTGTCGCGCGACATCGCCCTATTGGGCTGTATGCAATCAGGAGCAATATCGCTCAAAATCGCTCTAAAAAAGGGTCATGTAGAAGCGACAAGCTACAAGCGATATTGAGCGACATTGAGCGACGAGATGTGAACAGCTACATTGAATTGTATTGGTGAAGCTACATAGAGCGATATAGTGCGGAAATATGAGCGATATCGCTACAAAAATCGCTTGTAGCTCGTCGCTGGTAGCTTGTCGCTTCTACATGACCCTTTTTTAGAGCGATTTTGAGCGATATTGCTCCTGATTGCATACAGCCCAATAGGAAGAAGTCGCGCGATACGTCGCTCAATGTCGCTCGTCGCTCAATGTCGCTCAAAGTCACGCGATTTCCATGTCGCTCAGTGTGAATGGGGTCTTATGTGCAAGTAAAACAGTACCAAATCGGCAGGCAGATGGATGGTCAGAAACAAGGCGAGATTAAAGAAGCGGGCAGCAAGTAGCAGAGTCAAGGTACAGGCTGGGTCAATATCAGGAAGCCAAGCCGGATCAAAAGCACAGGATACAGGAAACTTGATGAAGAACTCTCAGCAAAGGACATGTGCAGAGCTCCTCAAATTGACCATCTGCCGCCGATGTTCGAAACATGTGGTCGCGCATGCACAGCCAGTTGCACTGATTGAGAACAGGTAGCACTTCCATGACAGGAGACACAATCACAAACTGCTAGATGAAGGAAGACCCTTCTTACATTTAGCTCATCATTTCCATACCATACAGTTCCACAACCACCAATTCAAGAAAACAGAAGACACATCTAGAGGGTTCCCTGATTCCTTCCTTATTCTCAGTTCTGGTCTGAGGGATACTGAGGCTGACACTGTCCTTCCTTCTGGAGGGGGGCACTTTTGTTCCCCATGGTTCCTGTGTGTGTTGTAAATTAGCCACAACTCCAAGCTCACTCACGTGATGGACTACAATCTCAGGTTTAGTTTACTCATTTGTATTGAGATTGTAGTCCATCACAGGTGTGAGCTTGGAGCGGTGACTACTTTACAATGCAGCCAGCACATCTAAAGACTGATACGCTCCAATATATGACATTTTTGGTATTGGGTTTAGATACAATATATCTGTCTCTCAGCAGACAAAGATACAGAGCCATGGCAAGGGGTGCTCAGTGTTTTGAGGAGAGGGTAGCCTACATTATTGTTCGCATTTGGGATGTACCAACTTTAGAACCTATTCCTGGATCAATTATTTGTTAACAAATTCACTTTTGTTTTCACTGATATTGCAGGTTTCTCTTTGGAGAGCGGCCATTTTGGTGGGTCCATGAATCTGGCCTAGTTGACGGCTACAAGCTCAGGCAGTTTCCTTCCACCTGTGAAACCGGTCCTGGTAAGTACATTCTCCAGAAGTACTGAGAAGGGGGCTAATTTAAGGATAATTATTTGCAGCATGCTGCTTTATTTAAAGAACGGGGCAGCACAGTGGCTGCATGGTTAGCACTTCTGCCTTGCAGCACTGAGGTCCCCAGATCGAAACCAGGTTTGAAGTTTGCATGTTCTCCCTGTGGACTTCCTTTGGGTACTCTGGCCTCTTCCCACACTCCGAAGACATGCTGGGAGGTTAATTGGCCCTTGTATGTGTGCATATGAAATAGAGAGCTTTAATTGTAAACTTCTTGAGAGCAGTGAGTGATGTAAATAAATAGTTTGTGCTCTTCGTAAATTGAAGTCGCTGTATAAATAAGAACTTTGGTAAGCAATATTCATCGGGTGGTAACATGACATAACCAGTGCAATTTCCATTACTGTAAGGGTGAGGTAGGTGACCATGAGCATCATTCAACCCAACAGACTGATGATTTCTAGTGACTGAAAGGAATTACTGTGGGGGACAGCGCTGGAGAGGAGGTGAGTATTGCAGTGTAGATGCTTTAAAAAACAATAGCTTGAAATGACAGCTTCTGTTTGCTACAAGGTCTTTACATGTGTTCTGATTTTACAAAGCACTTTATCATTTCAGGAAGCCCTTCGGGACACTGTATGATTACAGGAGCCGCCCTCTTGCCCATAATGATGTTCCTCACTAGCAAATTACAGAGGTAGGAGATATTGCTGGATGGGTTTGTATTTGAAGCTAACAAAGAGTACATAAGGTTAAGAAAATCATTTTTTAAAGTGTATGGGCAAAAGAAAAAATATATGGAGAATGAATGTGTTGTCAGCTTAGTACAGCTTTTGATTCCAACACACACACCTTGTGTGCCTGGCTCTCTCAGCCTCTCCAAACCTTCCAGCCTCCCAGGCTGTACCTTGTGTGCCTCCAGCACACACCACACTAGCTTGGCCCTCGCGTGCCTTCAGCACACACCACAATAGCTTGGCCCTCGCGTGCCTCCAGCACACACCACACTAGCTTGGCCCTCGCGTGCCTCCAGCACACACCGCACTAGCTTGGCCCTCGTGTGCCTCCAGCACACACCACACTAGCTTGGCTGTCGTGTGCCTCCAGCACACACCCCACTAGTTTGGCCCTCGCGTGCCTCTAGCACACATACCACGCTAGCTTGGCCCTCATTTGCCTCCAGCACACACCACACTAGCTTGGCCCTCGTGTGCCTCCAGCACACACCAGACTATGTGTTCCCCCACCCCACACCACACTAGCTTGGCCCTCGCGTGCCTCCAGCACACACCACACTAGCTTGGCCCTCGCGTGCCTTCAGCACACACCACAATAGCTTGGCCCTCGCGTGCCTCCAGCACACACCACACTAGCTTGGCCCTCGCGTGCCTCCAGCACACACCGCACTAGCTTGGCCCTCGTGTGCCTCCAGCACACACCACACTAGCTTGGCTGTCGTGTGCCTCCAGCACACACCCCACTAGTTTGGCCCTCGCGTGCCTCTAGCACACATACCACGCTAGCTTGGCCCTCATTTGCCTCCAGCACACACCACACTAGCTTGGCCCTCGTGTGCCTCCAGCACACACCAGACTAGCTTGGCCCTCGTGTGCCTCCAGCACACACCAGACTAGCTTGGCCCTTGCGTGCCTCCAGCACACACCGCACTAGCTTGGCCCTCGTTTGCCTCCAGCACACACCACAATAGCTTGGCCCTCGGGTGCCTCCAGCACACACCACACTAGCTTGGCCCTCGCGTGCCTCCAGCACACACCACACCAGCTTGGCCCTCGTGTGCCTCCAGCACACACCACACTAGCTTGGCCCTCGCGTGCCTCCAGCACACACCCCACTAGCTTGGCCCTTGCGTGCCTCCAGCACACACCGCACTAGCTTGGCCCTTGTGTGCCTCCAGCACACACCGCACTAGCTTGGCCCTCGCGTGCATCCAGCACACACCGCACTAGCTTGGCGCTCGTGTGCCTCCAGCACACACCACACTAGCTTGGCCGTCGCGTGACCTCCAGCACACACCACACTAGCTTGGCCCTCGTTTGCCTCCAGCACACACCACAATAGCTTGGCCCTCGGGTGCCTCCAGCATACACCACAATAGCTTGGCCCTCATTTGCCTCCAGCACACACCACACTAGCTTGGCCTTCGTGTGCCTCCAGCACACACCACACTAGTTTGGCCCTCGCCTGCCTCCAGCACACACCGCACTAGCTTGGCCCTCGCGTGCCCCCAGCACACACTGCTCTAACTTGTCTCTCGCGTGCCCCCAGCACACACTGTGCTAGCTTGGCTCTCGCGTGCCTCCAGCACACACCGCATTAGCTTGGCCCTCGTGTGCCTCCAGCACACACCACACTAGCTTGGCCCTCGTGTGCCTCCAGCACACACCACACTAGCTTGGCCCTCGTGTGCCTCCAGCACACACCGCGCTAGCTTGGCTCTCGCGTGCCTCCAGCACACACCGCACTAGCTTGGCCCTCGCGTGCCTCCAGCACACACCGCACTAGCTTGGCCCTTGTGTGCCTCCAGCACACACCGCACTAGCTTGGCCCTCGTGTGCCTCCAGCACACACCACACTAGCTTGGCTGTCGTGTGCCTCCAGCACACACCCCACTAGTTTGGCCCTCGCGTGCCTCTAGCACACATACCACGCTAGCTTGGCCCTCATTTGCCTCCAGCACACACCACACTAGCTTGGCCCTCGTGTGCCTCCAGCACACACCAGACTAGCTTGGCCCTCGTGTGCCTCCAGCACACACCAGACTAGCTTGGCCGTCGCCTGCCTCCAGCACACACCGCACTAGCTTGGCCCTCGTTTGCCTCCAGCACACACCACAATAGCTTGGCCCTCGGGTGCCTCCAGCACACACCACACTAGCTTGGCCCTCGCGTGCCTCCAGCACACACCACACCAGCTTGGCCCTCGTGTGCCTCCAGCACACACCACACTAGCTTGGCCCTCGCGTGCCTCCAGCACACACCCCACTAGCTTGGCCCTTGCGTGCCTCCAGCACACACCGCACTAGCTTGGCCCTTGTGTGCCTCCAGCACACACCGCACTAGCTTGGCCCTCGCGTGCATCCAGCACACACCGCACTAGCTTGGCGCTCGTGTGCCTCCAGCACACACCACACTAGCTTGGCCGTCGCGTGACCTCCAGCACACACCACACTAGCTTGGCCCTCGTTTGCCTCCAGCACACACCACAATAGCTTGGCCCTCGTGTGCCTCCAGCACACACCACACTAGCTTGGCCCTCGCCTGCCTCCAGCACACACCGCACTAGCTTGGCCCTCGCGTGCCCCCAGCACACACTGCGCTAACTTGTCTCTCGCGTGCCCCCAGCACACACTGTGCTAGCTTGGCTCTCGCGTGCCTCCAGCACACACCGCATTAGCTTGGCCCTCGTGTGCCTCCAGCACACACCACACTAGCTTGGCCCTCGTGTGCCTCCAGCAGACACCACACTAGCTTGGCCCTCGTGTGCCTCCAGCACACACCGCGCTAGCTTGGCTCTCGCGTGCCTCCAGCACACACCGCACTAGCTTGGCCCTCGCGTGCCTCCAGCACACACCGCACTAGCTTGGCCCTTGTGTGCCTCCAGCACACACCACACTAGCTTGGCCCTCGTGTGCCTCCAGCACACACCGCGCTAGCTTGGCTCTCGTGTGCCTCCAGCTCACACCGCGCTAGCTTGGCTCTTGCTTGCCTCCAGCACACACCGCACTAGCTTGGCCCTTGTGTGCCTCCAGCACACACCGCACTTGCTTGGCCCTGTTTTTATTTTTGACAGTAGACAAAAATGAGCACTTAACCCTTGCAGTTCGGGGGTAGCCCCACTGCAATGGTTAATACAAATTTTACCCGGATTTCTTCTTTAATGCAAATCAAGTTTTCTTTTGGGAGATAAATCCATATATTGGTGAGTGACTGCGGGGGACACGGTAGTGGCATAGTGGCCAGGTAGTGGAAGACCAGTACACAGCGGGGAGACACCCATACAAGTGATGGATACTGAAGATTCCTCAGTCGGTGTTGATCTGCAAGATCGGAATCACCAGCAGCAGGACTGGTAAGTAAAAAATCTGTTCTTTTACAGGTTGGCTGTTTTCTTAATACTTATTTTTGATAGCATCATACTTGGATTAAACCTATGCTTGTATTAGCTCTTCAGCATTAATACTCTTATCTTATAGCAGTGGCATACAGCGCCATGTTCCTCTGCTCATGTACATTTTGCTGATGTCGGGAATTGGCATTTCCAGGCTCCTCATCCTGGCACATTTTCCTCATCAGGTCCTGGCTGGGATTCTTTCTGGTAAGATATCTGAAACTGCAGAGATAGGCATGGCAAGTTACAGGAACTTAAAACTCCTGTAGAGAGAGTTATGGCAAGTTGGAGGACCTGGGAACTCCAACAAAGATAGCTGTGGCAAGTGGGAGGAGCTGAGTACTCCTAAAGAGATAGCTGTGGCAAGTAGGAGGAGCTGAGTCATCCTATAGAGATAGCTGTGGGAGGAGCTCAGTAATCCTATAGAGATAGCTGTGGCAAGTGGGAGGAGCTGAGTAATCCTATAGAGATAGCTGTGGCAAGTGGGAGGAGCTGAGAACTCCTACAGAGATAACTGTGGCAAGTGGGAGGATCTGAGAACTCCTATAGAGATAGCTGTGGCATATGGGAGGAACTGAGAACTCCCATAGAGAGAGCTGTGGCATATGGGAGGAACTGAGAACTCCCATAGAGAGAGCTGTGGCATATGGGAGGGGCTGAAAACTTTTTTTTAGAGATGGCTGTGGCAAGTGGGAGGAGCTGATAACTCCTATAGAGATGGCTGTGGCAAATGGGAGGAGCTGAGAACTCTTATAGAGATGGCTGTGGCAAATGGGAGGAGCTGAGAACTCCTATAGAGATAGCTGTGGCAAATGGGAGGAGCTGAGAACTCCTATAGAGATAGCTGTCACAAGTGGGAGGAGTTGAGAACTCCAATAGAGATAGCTGTCACAAGTGGGAGGAGTTGAGAACTCCAATAGAGATAGCTGTCACAAGTGGGAGGAGTTGAGCACTCCTATTCCTATAGAGATAGCTGTCACAAGTGGGAGGAGTTGAGAACTCCAATAGAGATAGCTGTCACAAGTGGGAGGAGTTGAGAACTCCAATAGAGATAGCTGTCACAAGTGGGAGGAGTTGAGAACTCCAATAGAGATAGCTGTCACAAGTGGGAGGAGTTGAGCACTCCTATAGAGATAGGTGTCACAAGTGGGAGGAGCTGATAACTCCTATAGAGATAGGTGTCACAAGTGGGAGGAGCTTATAACTCCTATAGAGATAGCTGTGGCATATGGGAGGAGCTGAGAACTTCTTTAGAGATAGCTGTCACAAGTGGGAGGAGTTGAGAACTCCTATAGAGATAGCTTTTACAAGTGGAAGGAGCTGAGAACTCCTATAGGCTGGGTTCACACCTAGGCGTATTGAATATGCGCGTTTGTCGCGCGCGTTTTTACCGCGATTTGCGGTTAAAAAAACCGCGCGACAAACGCCGTTTCCGAGGGCTATTCGGCTGTATCCCAATGGAAACGCGAGACCAAAACGCCCCAAAGAAGTACATGTACTTCTTTGGGCGTAGGCCGTTTTGTATCGCGTTCGGACGGGCGGAAATACGGCAAGGTGTGAACCAGACCCATTGAATACAATGGGATTTAGATGTTTGAGCGTTTTGTAGAGCGTTCGTCGAGCGTTGAACGCGCTACAAAACGTTCAGGTGTGAACCAGGCCATAGAGTTAGCTGCCGAAGCGGCTAGGGAATTCTGCAGGAATAGCTGTGGTGGGAGCTGGAAACTCCTGCAAAGATCTTACCATCCAAATGTTCAAGATGTATTGTATAAGTAACCAGCCCTGTGGTATGCAGCAAAATCTATACTGTCATCTTAGACGGTATAGATTAAATGACCATTTAATACGAAGTAACTGTGATTGGGACATCTATTTTACCCTGACCTTAGAATTATCATTCAGCCCTCTTTTTGGCCATCATTGAAAATTAAAAAAAATGCTTCAATTGTGTTTTTTTGCCCTAAACATATCCTTTTATCTGATCCTAGGTGTGCTGCTAGGATACATCTTGAAACGTAGTGTCCCCTATAACCGCAGCTTTGTATTTTACATCATGGCGTCTATGATCCTGCTGTTCGGGGCTCTGCTTGTATACTGGGGAATGAGTGCGTTTGGGGCGGATCTTTCTTGGTGAGTACAGGCTTTGTTAGACTGATATCTCTTGCCCTTTATGCGCTATCTGGAATAAAGGCCTCAGACTGTCAAAACGGTGATGATGTGGCCACCAATGAAATTTTACTTTGCTGGTGTCTAAGAGAATGGCACTGCAAAGAACAAAGTTCTGTGCGTTGCAGTAACATGCATTTTACCAAATGTTACCGCAACACATAAACCTGAAGGAGCCCTGAATCTGCTTGGTGGCTTTGAGGAACACTTTGTTGCAAGCACTTTGATACATTGGGCATTATATATGTGAGAGAAAGCAAAGAGCCTGTGGGGGGTGTGTTCTGCATTGAAAATAGGTCAGGGAAAGGAATTCTAGGTGAAAAGATTACTAATAAAAGGGATCGGTCATTACAGCAGTGCTTGAGTGGTGCCATTCATGCTAAATGACACCTGAATCACAAGTAGGGATCTGGAGGTCAAAAGGAGGAAAGGGGGGTGTCAAAAAAGATTCACACATTCCTTGTAGACTTCTACTAGATGGAGCTGCATTCTGGAGGCATGGGCAGCATCAAAGGTAGGTCCAGTTCTGGAGGTTTTCAAGTCCATTTAATGTTACATGTCTATCTAAGACTAGAGTGTCCACAGGGGGACAATGCTGCTGGGTGATTTCCTTGCAGAATGAACAGTGTTGCCATCCTGTTATTGAAGAATTAGAGATATTCTGGCAGGATCAACAGATGATAAAACAACGTCACAGGGTGGACACGCAGAAAAACAAAAATGGCGGCGTTTATGCTATTGGCAGACAGCAGCATATATGTCATGTTTGATTTTGTCCATAGTTCTACTTTAATATTCCTTTTTACATGTCTCATTTGTGTTAGGTCCATTCACCTGGCCACTAAATGGTGTTCTAAGCCGGAATGGGTCCGCCCAGAGTCAAGACCATTCTCTTCTGTCACCAGGAGTGCAGGGAATGCAATGGGATTGGGATTTGCACTGTGTTGTCCACTCTACCAGAAGTTGCATAGAAGCTATCCAGGCTGGCGGGTTAGAGGGACAATCCTGCTTCTGTCTATCTTCTTCCTAAAAATCCAACAATCTCTTCCTCTTCCTGTATTCTCACCTTTCCTGTACTACACACTCAACTTCCTGCGCCATTGTCTCTGCCCCCTTATTGTCATTATTTTCACTCCATACTTAGTTACCGGCCTTTACTCGGTGAGACAACCGAAAAAAGAGTGACGAGAGCTTGTGTAAAAATAGCTTGTTACAGTTCCTGTTACAAGAAAAGGGAAAACTTGATGCTTAGATAGGTTATAGTTCTGTTTTAGTTAGTTTTAAACACATTACAGGGAACTTATTTATATACTGTTATTTTACTGGTCCTAAATTTCCTCAAATGGTTCATTTAGTTTTGGTTGGGGAGTGAATGGACATATTGTCAGATATCCTTCCCTTAAAAGCACTTTTTTTAGAGCCACCATTGGTGAGTTCCTCTTATGAACTCCACCCTGTTTCTGCTTTTGTTCTATTCTTCGGTCTGGAGCATTCCTTTCAAACTTATGAACTTTAGTTACTCTAGTAAAACTTATGAACTCTAGTTAGTCTAGTAAAACTTATGAACTCTAGTTACTCTAGTAAAACTTATGAACTCTAGTTACTCTAGTAAAACTTATGAACTCTAGTTACTCTAGTAAAACTTATGAACTCTAGTTACTCTAGTAAAACATGATTTCTAGTTAGTCTAGTAAAACTTATGAACTTTAGTTAGTCTAGTAAAACTTATGAACTCTAGTTACTCTAGTAAAACATGATTTCTAATTACTCTAGTAAAACTTATGAACTTTAGTTACTCTAGTAAAACTTATGAACTCTAGTTACTCTAGTAAAACATGATTTCTAATTACTCTAGTAAAACTTATGAACTGTAGTTAGTCTAGTAAAACGTATGAACTCTAGTTACTATATTAAAACTTATGATTTCTAGTTACTCTAGTAAAACATGATTTCTAGTTACTCTAGTAATACATGATTTCTAGTTAGTCTAGTAAAACATGATTTCTAGTTACTCTAGTAAAACATAATTTCTAGTTACTCTAGTAATACATGATTTCTTGTTACTATAGTAAAACATTATTTCTAGTTAGTCTAGTAAAACTTATGAACTCTAGTTACTCTAGTAAAACATGATTTCTAGTTACTCTAGTAAAACATGATTTCTAGTTACTCTAGTAAAACATGATTTCTAGTTACTCTAGTAAAACATAATTTCTAGTTACTCTAGTAAAACTTATGAACTCTAGTTACTCTAATAAAACCTATGAACTCTAGTTACTCTGGTAAAGATCTCTGGTCGCGCTGGACCAGTAGGAGTTGGAATCAGTTTTGATCTGAATCTAAAAGAATGAGGGATGTACTCCTTGGGGGAGCAACCCATAATGACAATGTATGTTTAAAGTAAGGACCTGATTATGGTCCAAGGTTGCTGCCTCTCTGGTCGTGATGAAGGAATCGCTCAAAAGAAGTTCAAATCCTGGATGTGTAGTTAGGAGCGCCTCTTAAAAAAATTGGCCATCTCGCTTGAAGGTTCCTCTAGGTTGTTTATTTAAATGGATGTCAGATACAGCCGGCACGTTTTAGGGGAATCAGCCTCTCCCTTCTTCGGGGGTTGAGCAACACCAATAAGAAAAGCTGTATGTTGTGGCCTAAATTAGGGCTAGATGAGAGTTGAGTGTCATCATACCTGTAGCAGTGATCAATGATTCTGAAGAAGGGGGAGTCTGATTCCCCGAAACACAATGAGGGGAATTCATCAAAACTGGAGCAGACAGAATCTGGAGCAGCTGTGCATGGCAACCAATCAGCTTCTGTCTTAGGTTTGTTCAGTTAAGATTTGAAAATGGAAGAGAGAAGTTGGTTGCTGGGCACAGATCCTCCAGATTTTGTCCCCTCACTGTGTGTATCTGTCATACAACGTAGATCAGGGGTGGGCGGCCTTGGCTCTCCGGCCTTGCTGAAACTACAAATCCCATAAGGCATTGCAATCCACAGGCATGACTCCCAGAGTCAGAAGCATGATGGAATTTGTAGTTTCAGCACAGCTGGAGAGCCAGGGTTTCCTACGCCTGACTTAGATGAACCTTCAAGGGAGATGACCAGTTTTGTTACCCTTCAAGGGAGATGGCCATTGTTTAACAGTCGCTCCTAACCACAAATCTTGGATTTAAAACTTATGAGGCTGAAACCTTATTCTGAAAGTAGAAACAGAGCAAATAGGGGGGAGATCATCAGAGGAACTTTATGGCACTTGATCTTCACTTTGGGGCTACTTAGAGGTATACTATGAGGCTAAGAGTTTGTGGACACCTAACCACCACCCCTATGTAAACTTGCTAGACATCCTTTACCAAAACCATAGGCATTGATATGGAGTTGGCCCCCTTTGTGGCACCAGCAGCCTCTACTCTTCTGGGGAAGGCTTTCCATAAGGTTATGGAGTGTGTCTGTGGGAATTTGTGCCCACTGAGCTAAAAGAGAATTGGGAGGTCAGGTACTGATGTTGGACGAGAAGACCTGGCTCATAACTGGTGTTGCGGTTCATCCTCAATGTATTCTTTAAGGTCAGGGCTCACACCAGACTCCTCAGACCCTTTTTTATAGAGCTGGCTTTGTGGAGGAGCTCAATCATTTGGGGGGTTGTTCACATACTTTTGGCCATATAGTTAGGTGTCATGTCAGGTGGACATAAATGTTTGGTCATATAGAGGAAAAAGATTTTTTACCTGTGAGCAACCAAATACCAAAGCACCCTTCATCGAAGGGAAGTTCATTCTCATAGTTGTTGTTTTATTATAGTTATATGTAAACTCCTTTACAATGCACACTGTATGGGCACATGACGTTTCAGTAATAAAGTGCCTCTGTTCTCTACAGACAATGGAGTCGGACTTTTTTTTTGGGGAGGGACTAAAACATTCACTGGGGTGCAACCACCATAATTGAACGCTGCTGCAGAGGTGCATTTGTTCTCGGCCACGAGAGTCCAGGGCTGGGAGTTTTAGGTGCAAGGCTCCTGGCACTGAGACCAGTATGAGTTCTGTAGCTGCCCACGTTTAGCTAAATCATGTTTTTCTTACACTTAAAATAGATCAAAACCCAATCACGAAAACATCATGTAAGCGTTAACGTGTCAATGTGATCTCAAACATCGCTTCAGTCTTTTTTAAAGAACTCCAGGAAATCTAAAAATGAACTCTTGCCTTGGGGCTACCCCACACTGCAAGGGTTAACCGATCGTTAAAATATACTCACCTGATCCTCAGTGTTGCATCGCTGCTAAACTGGCCCCTGCAGCCTCTCCTCCTCCAGGCTTCAGCAGTCTAAGGACTCGTGACGTCATCCTGTCTAATGCAGCTGCATTAGATGTGAGGACACAAAGGGATATTCCACTGCCAGAGCGGAGAGGAAGAGAGGTGAGTGGTCAGCACCACAGGACTGAGGATCAGGCGAATGTATTTTATTTTAGACCCTAGACCAAAATGAACATTTAACCCTTACAGTGTGGAGGTAGCCCCAAGGCAAGGGTTCATTTTTAGATTTCCCAGAGTTCCTCTTTAAATCTACAGCTTTCATTATACATATACCTGGTGATCATGCCACAAAGGTCATTGTTAAGGCACTTCCTGCTGAGATGAAAACACTCCGTCCCTCTCTCAAGGTTGTGCTCTTGTGTTGTCACCTTGCCACTTGTGTCCCAGTTGGAGACTACAAGCGGTCAACCCTGTGCTGGTATGATTCACTGTTGTCACCATGGGGTAGCTGGACCATAGCAATGAAGTGCAGTCAACCCTGGACCATGTGTGTATGTAAACAGGAAGTGGCTGAACGGGGATGGAGGAGATCAGCAGCACTGAGATACAAAAACCTTAAAGAGATCCAAATTTTCAGACAGTCAGGGTCTGATACAGTGCAGTGCTGTCAGACTAACATAGGGAACAAGCTTACAGGTGGATAGATCGGTAACCCAATCAGTGTGCTCCTGCTGCTCCTTTAATGTCCAGTGAACATCCTGATGCACATAGGCGACATCAATGCCCCATGCTGCTGTTAAATGTCCCCGTGCAGCGTGGTCGTTGTCGCCCCCCACTGCTTGGGTTTATTTACAGTATATATTTATTACTGATATTTATATTACGCTGACAATTTACACAGTGCTTTGCATACTGCACTTTCACATCAGTCCCTGCACTGAGGAGCTTACAATCTAAGGCCCCTATCTCACATACAAGCATATATACCTTTCAGCACTGGAGTTGAATACTTGTTGGGCTAGGAGGGAAACAAATAACTTTACTCCGCTGTCCAATGCTCCGGGTTGTGGACAGGCCCTTGCTCTCTCTCCCCGTACAATGCAGGTACACTGTAAGTGATGACGTCAGAGAACTGCGACCAGCCGGGGCAGTGAAGTTAAGTGGCATCAAGTGACCGGTCGCATGGAGAGAAGGAAGCCTGCGGGACGGAGGACTAAGGTAAGTCGTTCTACATATTCCTTTCCTCCTTGCACTGCATGAATAAATGTAACAGCAGCCCAGAATAGGGCTTTAAAGTGACCCTGTCATCCCAAGCTGACTTGTATTAAAAAGCTTCAATATACTTCCCTTTCTGAATGTTAATATACCACCTTGGCCTGGCCAATTGGATGGCTTGAATAACTGTTTTCCCTGCCACACACTGTGGTTCCTCCTGCCAGCTTGTACATCCTGTAGTGATGTCTCCCGCGTGTCTTACAGAGGGTCCAATTATCACAGGCAAAGGGTTGTCACAGCATAGGGCCTAAAACAGGACGGGTGTGTCCCCTAAACTGGAAATCCTCTTCAACACAGGTCATATTGTTATACATAGGCATGCAGAAAGAAAGGATGAGACACCCGGACAGAGAGATTCCTGCAAGTCTGAGCACGTTTTATTTATACAAGGACAAACAGGACATATTACAAAATACTCAGATGAAAATCCATACCCACAGCATGTGAGGGAGACACAGAGACACACACAAAAAAAACTGGAGTTTACAGCGGACCGACCTTTCACCGAGTCCACCCAGAGCCCCCCGACTCTGCACGTAATACTGTCGAACAACATGTGAGGTTTCCTCTTTTTATTAATTTAGAAAAAAATATATATATTTATTTACACGACAAGTTACGAGACAGTTGCACAAGTCCACTGCATGTGATGGTGAG